TTCTGAATTTCTTTGGATCTCGGCATGATGTCTAGCTTTTGAGGATCTTTTGGTCTACTTCACTTTGTCAGGCAACTATTTTTTTTAGCCCCACTCCCGCAAGGTTCTATTTCGCTCCCACCCGCTCCTGCTATATATTCACTCTTTGTTCACCCGCTGTCCGCTTAGAATAATTTTCTTCCCGACCCGACCGTTCCCGCTAAATTTAGATCTCGTTTCCAGAATCTCACATTTACATTTCCGCTACTGAAAGAAAGAGAGATAGGCTGACAAATAAAAGTGTAGTCTGCACAAAATTGTATGTTATTTTGTTCATCTTGTCAAGAGTCTTGAATTTATTGACTTTGACTTGAATTTATATGAATTATCTTAAGACACAAAATTCGTTTAATATTTTATGCAACACAGTAGGGGGAAAAAAATTGTCAGAGAAAATAAAAATGATGTACAAAAATTATATTTCTTATTTTTATTTGTCTTGTCAGGATACAATTCGTTTAACATTGATAACACAATAGGAAAAAGTCTCGCAGACAGAAAAAAAAAAATGTAGCTTGTACAAAAAATAGCCTATTAGCTATTTTTATTCGTCTTGTCAAAATACTAAATGTGTTTGACATTTTTCTGTTAACACAGTAGGAAAAGTGTCGTAGAGAAAAATAAATATGACATCTGTCATTTAAAATTATAGGCTAAGCAAAATATAAACAAAACCGAGTTGAACGTCCTTCAAGGACAGCGCATCCACACTTTGCTCCATCCTTATTCTGCTGTCACTCATCGACAACCTGCCTGTTCTGTCTGAGGGCCGTATATTTACCACCGGTACAGCCTGCTCTGAGCATTGTTATGCACATGCTGCGCACAGACCCCGCAAATAAAACGCGTGACGTTTAAAGCATGCGTGCAGCGCGTGCATAACAGTCCTGAGCACAAGCTGTACCGGTGGTCAATAAGAATAAAGTGCAGATATGCTGTTCTAAATGGACGTCGGGAACAATAGTTAGACCGCCCGCTCCCGTTCAAATTACACCAGAGTTACCGACCACTACCGCGTTTTATTCGGGAATTTAATTCCGTGGCGCAAAAAATCCGGTGGGGTCCCGCGGTACCTCTACCTCTACATTAAAGTTCTGTTTATTGGAATCTCCTACGTCTCTGCGTTTCCTCGCTCCAGCACAGTAGGCTCGCATGACAGTAGTATGTGTGTTTATTTTAATACACACATTATATTAATACAGACAAGCCTAAATTAAATTTGTGCATCATATATAGCAATCATATCTCTTCACAAGATTTGAATATGTTTCTGTTTTGCGATGCTTTTATGACCTTTTTAGATCTTCTAAGATTTGGTTAGCTGGACCTCAATGGGGGGGACAGAAACCTTTTAGGTTTCATTAAAAAATATGTTTTCAATATTTCAATATTGAAGATTAACCAAATTGTTTTAGGTCTGGAACGACATGAGGGTGAGTAAAATTATGAAAGATTTGTGATTTGTGGGTTAACTATCCCTTAACTTATAAAATGTTAAAGTTTCTATAATTTTGTTATTTATATGCTGCCACTGAAGAATTATACAGCATTAATGTTGTGGCTATATATGCAGATGAGAGGACGTGTGAGCCATATCAGTTCCGCTGTAAAAACAATCGCTGTGTTCCCGGCCGCTGGCAGTGTGACTATGACAACGACTGCGGGGACAACTCGGACGAGGATAAGTGTGGTAGGTTTCCACCGCCCGGTGCTGCATCTGAGTGCTGAGACTGCACGGGTCCGGATGAACATCAGGCACACACACATCCAGAGACATGCTTCACCTTACATCACAGCAATGGCAGCAGGAACAGAACGTTCTGTTAGGCTCTCAGACAAGTGGCAGTCAGCGATACAAAATTAACCGAAAAACCTGATCGTTGTCATTCTCATTTATTTGTTCATGAGCACATTTTAATTAACGAGAGGACTTTTTTTTCCCCTTTGTGCATGTTTTTGTTTCGTCCAGTCATTTACGTGTCTACATCTTGTTTATTCTTCATTTCACACTGCCACATTGATGTGGGTTAGAGGTAGGTTTCCATTTTCAAATGTCCACTTCAGTCCTGAACATCTCCGTCAGTGGCTGCTCGCTGGTGACACTGGGAGGCTTGAATGTTCTTTTCTGTTTCACTATGCATGAAAAACTGAAGACAGCAATTTACAGTACATGTAAACGGTTAAAGAAGATCTAATCATGATAATCAATGATTAATAATGAGCCTTTTCCAGTACTCAGCAGCTAGCCACTGTGAAGCCCTTTCCTGCAGTTTTTGAGCAGTTATGGTTTGGATTTGATTTTTGTTTTGCCTGCTGCTCCCAAACACCCAAAGCTCCATCTGTCCTTGTGCCTCTGATTTAAGATGTATGCCCTTAACAATCATATTACCTAAAAACCCCTGCTTCTACAGCTGAAGTGATCTAATGAGACCCTTCTGAGTGAATGTCACGAAAGAAAAAAAACCACACGTGGCATACAATTACCTTTTGTTTTTAGAAAATTCAGCTTGTTTTTAGGACCATTAGGATTTTTTGCACAATGTCATTATTTTTAATGACAACGAAGCACGTTTTTCTCCTAAACGTCTCATTGTAATTTTTCCAGACTTTTAACGTTTGAGTTTGTTTGTAGTTCTTACCATTATCAGTGGCAATTCTTATTCAGCTCTTATTACTGTGATACATTTGAACTTAATGAGCATAAATTATAGACAATGCAGCAAATTGTTATTAGAATGATTTCTGAAGGATCATGTGACACTGAAGACTGGAGTAATGATGCTGAAAATTCACACATTTTAAAATATATTACAGTAGAAAAATTATTTTACGTTTTTACAATATTACTGTTGAGCTTCTCGCTGTATTTTTAATGAATGAATGCAGCTTTCGTGAGCATAAAAGACTTCTTTTAAAACTTTGTTGACCCATAACTGTTGAACAGTTGTGTATAAATACTCAGTAATTCAATAAAACATCATTTTTTTTTTAATTACTGTAACGAGAATAAGCATTGTTTTTGTACTACGAATGAGAATTGGGATGAAAACATGCTTGTCAAAAAATCTTTAGCCTAACAACAGTTTTTGTTTCATGCTAAATATAAATATAATTTCTTTCTTTTGACTATGTAGTGAAATGTGACCTGGATTTGTCTTGACTGCTTTGTAAGATATTGTTGAAATCTCACAGAAGTGTGTCTTGTGTCTGTCAGTGCCCAGGCAGTGTTCTGAGAGCGAGTTTGCCTGCACCAGCGGCCGCTGTATTGCTGGCAGATGGAAGTGTGATGGAGATCACGACTGTGCTGACGGGTCTGATGAGGCAAGTCACAAAACCACTCATTCACACCTGCTTCAGGAAAACACACACTTCAGCAGAATTGATCAGTGATGATCCTCCTGAATAGCAAATACTCACTGCAGTATGTAATGTGTGTGTATTTTGCAGCACGGCTGTGATGTGAAGTGTGATAATGACCAGTTTCAGTGTAAGAACGGTCACTGCATCCCATTCCGCTGGAGGTGTGACGCCGATGCCGACTGCATGGATGGCAGCGATGAGGAGAACTGCGACACTGGAGGTTAAAATCGCACAAAAACATGCTACATACAGAATCAGCTCGAACCGAAACTGTCATTTATTACAGGAATATTTCACCCAAAGATGACAATTTGCTAAAAATGTTCTTAGCCTCAAGTCACACAAGATGTAGTTGTGTTTGTTTCTTCATCTTATTTGAGAAATACATTACATCACTTGCTCACCAGTGGATCTTCTGCAGTGAATGGGTGCCATCAGAATGCGAAAAGCTGCATGTTTGTAAGAAACAAATCCATCATTAAGAAATTTAGGCCCAAATTTTGGCTAAAACACGAGACCTTAATTCATAATAACACTTTCTCCAGTGAAAAAGTCCATCATCTGTTGTCCTTCAAATTCACTAACATATTTGTTTAGCGCTGTTTTCATTTGTAAACAGTGCTTGATCTGTGCATATTTCTCTCCTGATGTATATGAGATGATAGTTCACTGGAGAAAGCAATATTATGGATAGAAGACTCGTATTTTAGCCAGACACAGTGGTTTTGAAGTTAAAAATGTCTTAATGATGGATTTGTTTCTTACAAGCATGCAGCTTTTGGCTTCACAAGATGTTAATGGATAGACTGGATTCGTGTGGATTACTTGTGGGTTATTGTGTTTGGAGTCTCATTCTGACGGCACCCATTCCAAATTTCCATTTTTGGGTGAACTATTCCTTAAACTTTGTTTCTAACCTGTACTGTATGCTGCTTTCGAAAATGTTTGAAGAATCTTCTTATAGCTCTTTTCTATGCAGTGATTTATAGTGACCACATCTGTCAAGCTCCATTAAAAAAAGTCCATACGATTTTTGCACTATATTACATATCTTCTAAAGTCATACAAAAGAGCTTTGTGTGAGAAACAGAGCAAAACGTCATTATTCACTAATCTTAGCCTGTGTTCTTGTCTAGATTCTATGTATGTAGGTATGTGTAGCTAACACAAGGTGAAGAGGTTACATTTTATTGATTTATTGAAGAGGTTGCTTTTATTGTGTTTTTGGAAAGAGCAGGAGAAAAAAAAAATTTCAACACTGTACAGATTTAAAAAGGTATGAGAGTAAGTAAATAATGATAGAATTTTTATTTATGGTTGAACTGTTCCTTTAAACAACAGCGTTACCAGTGCCTACAGTATTAATTAGAGTGATCAGACTCTGGAGAGGGTTTTAGTATTCAAGGAGGCCTTTCTGAAGATGCATTGCCAAGTGTTTTACACACACACACACACACGGTAATTGCTGTGTGGTTGTGCTGGAATGAATACAGATGAGTTACCCTGTCTGTGTGTGTGTGTGTGTGTGTGTGTGTGTGTGTGTGCGTGTAGTGGGTCGATTCTGCCCTCTGGATGAGTTTCCCCCAGCGACTTAAGACTGGCTTTGTGCTCCAGGGTCACATATAAGCCTCATGTTTCAGATATTAAATAGATTCTTTCCTGGATGCTGGTCAATGTTGCATTGCAAGTGTAATTAAATACGCAATATAGTAACAGCTATGACACAAAACACCTGTTCAGCATATTACTGCACTGCGACCTTTAACCTGTATATGTATGTGTCAGAGACTTTATCTTTTGCATAAAGTGTGAATATTGCAACCTGTTAATATGGGTGTGAAAATTTAGGCTTTAGGATTCTTCATTTGCATTAGCAGCGTAGCTTCATTTACATTAACTGTTGCACAAACTCTATCAAATTGAGCGTTTGAATGTTTGGGGTTCAGTCTGACTCTGCTGGTGAAATCGTCTGTATTTTCACATCAAGACTGCTGTGTTTTTATTCTGTGTGTGTTTCAGAGAGATTCCAGTGTCCTCCCACCAGACAGTTCCGCTGCCATAATGACCGAGTGTGTTTGCCAATGTCTAAACAATGTGACGATGTTGACAACTGCGGAGACAACAGTGATGAACTCAACTGCCGTGAGTAATTGCTACTTTTCTTGGCTGATTTATTTAAAATGTCATGTTTTTTTTTTTTGCATGTCATTTTTGCCTGTGCCATTGCACTAAACATTTAACATCATTTTCATGTACGATTTGTTACTGAAAATATTAGTATGGACATATGTGTGTGCATTTTTTATTTTTTATTTGCTGAACTTTTAAGTTTTTTTTTTTTACCACCAATGGGGAATGCAATCCCCTAAATATGTGGTTACAGCCTTGCTAATAGTTATTTATCATTACTAACACTAAACCTAATGTGTTTTCAACTCAATCACAATATGTTCAGTATGGAATTAATAGACTGTGCATATTATTTGAATAATAACGCAGTTATCTGGTAGTAACAAATTGGTCCTGGTCCTTTACACATTGGATTTTGAAGATATATCAATAACCCATGAAGCTTCTCTTTCAAAACATGTTTTGTGTATTTAAACCATTACATCACATGTTTTTGGGGTTGAATGTTTTGGGTTGAAGATCAGTGCAAAAATTGTCCTGCACCCAACCACATGATTCACAGTGAATATTTTTCTGTACATTTATACCAAGAAAAATCTGAGGTGAAATATTGAGATGGACTAGAATGACAAGATAAGTGCAAACGGTGAAATTAAAAAGACTGTCAAAGAAACCTACCTAATGATGACATCCTTTAGATATGATGCAGAAAGTATTATTACTACAGGTGGAAATGACACAGCATAACAGTGTTGAAGAGAAAGTGAGGAATTCATTCATATATGTATGAATTAATTTCTTTTAATCATAAGCAGTCATGAGGACACCAATGAGAATGAGTCATTGATTATGCTAGTAAATGTCTATTGAAGTGAATTTGTCCCTGTTCCCTGTCAGAAACTCCTGCGCCTGCGGTCTGTGGAAAGGGTGAGTTTACCTGCAGCAATGGAAAGTGTATAAGCATTAACCTACGCTGCAATTTCTTCAATGACTGTGAGGACTACGGCTCTGATGAGATCAACTGCAACAAGAAAAGTGAGCCTATTTGTTTATTTGACAGCTTTTTTTTGTCAAACATAAAAGATTGAGGTTCGCTGAGTGTCTATTTATGATGTTCTGTGTCTCTGAACAGATTCAGGTCTAAATGAATGCCGTAACAACCACAGTATTTGTGAAGATGAAGGTCACTGTGTGGTGAATGGAACCGACTGGTTCTGCTCCTGCAAACCCGGCTTCCAGAAAACACACCCGCAAACCTGCACAGGTACCGGTACAGCACACACATGCTGAGAACCAGAGGAGACTAAACTGCTAACAAAACTAAAAAAAAAAATGTTTTGAAGCTTTATCAGCTACAGAAGAGCATGTTTTTACTCATGGTTAAATCTAAGTTAATATATATATATATATATATATATATATATATATATATATATATAT